GAGGAAATGGGGGGTGGGAGAGTGGGGTGTCGCATTCGTGATTGACTGAGTCCACGCTCACGTCGTCTCTCGTATCGTTTCGGCATGCGTCCTTGGTGTTATGGCGTACAGCCTTGACGTAGCAGCGTGCGTGTCTGCACACGAACTGGACCGTGCTTCTTGGTCGCGCGAACGGAGAAAAAAATAATAGGACAGTTTATTTTGAAGGCATCGTTACAAAATGTTCTGCGAAAGCGTCCTTCATTCACTGTGGGTATAAATGGGTAACGTGAAAAAGGATAGTACCAGCAGATCACAAAGGTGACCTGTTGACCGCAAACCCCAACTGCCGACATCAATGCTAATCGTTGGTGAATGTGACGCAAAACGTACATCAGATTTTATTATCGTCAAAACACCAGGTTAGAATAGTGTAGTCCAAACGAAGGAAAAACAATAAAAAATCAGTATGCAGCGAATAAAATAGGCCAAATTAGGTACCTATTAAGACAGCTCCCACAGGAATTGAGAACATAAAAAGTGGTGGCTCAGTTTTGTGAGTCCCGAGGTTTCGATCACACGCATACAGGGCGCCGTGTAACTGGCTTACTGCTTGTCGCTATTGCCAATTTCGGACCTCCAAGAGGCAGTAAAACAAGTAAACGTTTGGTATTTAGTCAAACAGAGGACTTTGTTCATGCTTTTTCTTACACGTGTCATTTTAGCGGAACTGAAAAAAGTTGCCTCGCGGAAAACATCAGAGGATGGGAAAAGCCCCATCTGGCACGAAAGCAGTGAGGAGGGTCTGTGGCAATTTCCACGGTGATGACGAAAGGTCAGAATAACAGATGCTTAAAGATTTTAAGCAATGTGAACGTAAAACAAAAGGTACGCAAACCTGGATCCGGTAGGGCCGTCCTTACTGACCGTTTTGATCTAGCCGGCTTTAGCGGTAACGTAGGCGTTTCTTCTGTACGTGTGACAGTCGGCGGCAGCGTACATGAAAACTCGACCCACGCCCTTATACACCGACGGAGATCACCTAATGAACATTCAATAATAATTTATGTTTCTTGGCGAACTGTGTCGAGAAGAGTTTTTCGCCGCATTTATTTAATCGGTGACACTGATTTAAGACATCATCGTTGCATATTTAGGGCGACCGACGAAGAAGTGCTCATTCATTTCGCCTGTATCTTCTAGGTGGCCTGAATTACCCTTAGTTTATTGTTGCAGTGGCTATGGACTGTCTTATTGGGCATACCTCACTCGAAAGATTGCCTCCTGGTAACATTGGTCGAAAAACACCCGTACCCGCGAATATTTTGATAATCAGAAGCGTAGAGGGCTGATCAGACGAATGCCTAACATAATCCGAGGTTGGTGGCAATAGAAATATTGCGATGGGTCTGTGTGCATATTCGAAGTCCCACGAAATCCCAGCGCGTGACATCCATTCCATCGACGATATCGTTAATGGACAAGTTGTTTGAGAAAGTGGGCGTTCCCTACGTCAGTTAGACTTGATTCCAGCAAGGGGATACCGCCGACCTTGTCGAGGTCAGAAAAACTGATGTAAGTGCGACACCGCGCAAACTGCGAACAACCTCTTCAGCGCCCCGGCCAGCCATCCACTACGGTTTTATTTCGGACTTGTTGCGTGGATGACGAGCAAAGACAGGCAGTGTTCGCCCACCGATGCTTGAGGATCACTCTTCGAGGGACGTACACCGACTTCACCTCAAATGAGGCAGTCCGCACTCGTTGCGACTATCGCAAGGATATCTCCGGCAAAGCAAGAAAGAAGATTGAGCAGATTTGGGCATGCTCTCCGTCGTCCGCTTCAGGAACTCAGTTACAGTGTCTTCGATTCTGCGCCGCTGCCCGTCTGAAGGCGTCAGAGAGGAGGTTAACCTAAGAGCTGGTTCGACACAGTCCGCTAAGGCATTACAGCGATTCTTGAAACTTCGGTATTCGGCCTGCGTCGCTGGAGAATGAAAGGGATTGGGCTGTCCAGTCCGCTACCGCAAATCGTCACGCCTGGAGATGTACAATATGTAAAATCTTATAGGCCGGCTAGATCAGGCATGATCAGAGCCGTAAAAAGTACATACAAGGGAATGAAACAGATACTAGTGAAACGCCTTTTAAGATCTGCGTACATTCTTCAGCAATATTTGACCGGTCCCAAGAGAGCGACCGCTTCCTCATGTCTTCTAGTAGAGTCTTCATAAACTGTTCGGACTGTCTTGCAAACAGAGTTTCCCTGCTTAAGTCTAATAACAACACCCAAAAAGCAATTCTTAAATTTGGATGTTTTTGTAGAGTTATTTTTGGAAAATGTTGTTATTACCAGACAGAATGTTTTACTGTCCGAGGAAAAGGGACGGAGTTAGAAACGATTTTCGCTAGAAGTGGGACTACGAAACCACTGGCGTAGTATAGCAACGTGTCTGTTCTCGTTTACATCATCGCATTTTATGCTTGACTGCCTTCAACTGAGAACTCTTCGTTTGTTTCATTGCGAGAAATGATTTGCGCCCCTCATCTCATTGTAATTGTCCCGTTATGTTAGAATTCTTCTTCATGATAGTAATTTCGGTGAACTTTTTCCTAACGAGTTTACTCATTTCGCACATTCAACTTCTTTCTAATGGGCGAACTTTACATCCAGCACCGGGGCATTACGACGAGTAAAAGTATAAGCTCAGAGGCTGCACATCGACGTTTTTTTCTAACAGGCCGCCCACTATTCGCCGTAACTGTATGTACCTTTAAGCTTCATTCTCCTTTTGATTTTAGTCCATACGAAGTGACTTACTGGAGGAATTACTCGACAAATGGAAGTCCTCGCCATCTTCCTTAAATCCCCTTTCCTGCTCTGAGCTCAGCCTGACCTCGGGAAAATTAATTGTTCTCCAACATCTCCTCCGTAACCTACTTTCACTTTCCACTGGCTCAGGTGGCAAGCCCCACCGCATCGTGCTGGTTTCCAACTTTATTCAGGCAAGCGTTGTGCAATAAAATTTATTGCGTACTTGTTTTGTAAGCTTCTTCCGTCCCCTCTATACTACTCGATTTATGTAGGCGGATTAGTCATCGAACCATGGCACCGCCCATTAATTAAATTTTTATGAGTGTGGTTTTCCGGCGGACCTAGAAATATACCCAGCTAAAGCCAGAATACTACTGTGTTCGATCGTACTCACATAAAGTTTCATGACGACAGTTTGAATTATCTAGTCTTTTCCGTTTTGTTGCGGCATCAAAAAGCGTCGACCAACGTTTCCAGCTCGTACTAGATACACGCCAAACCTTTCGTTACAATGTTCTTTGAAGTTCTTAATTGTTCAGCTCGCCTGTGCTTTAGCTTAATCACCAGCTTACAGTAGTTCTCTTGAAATGTTTACGTACCACCGAGTACGGTCAACTGGGCTCACGCTAGAAATGCCATCGCTAGGTGCTCAAGCAGAAATGGGGCAAACATTGCCGACAAAGACAAGGGAGACCGGAATAGCCATTTCTGGCTTATTAGTCGTCACCCGCTTATCAGCCAGCCAGACAGAACCGTAATTGGTGCATCACCTTAGGCTCAAAACCGCGACCTGTTGATTAGAAGTCAACTGCTCTAACCAGTGAGCCATGGGCTCATGATTTTGTTCATTTAGGTCAGGAGTATTAACATATGCGGATGAATACTCACCGATTGGTTAAGATACTCATTCGTCCTGCATATGCTAGAGATAAAAAGCCTCCCCTCCTCCAGCTTACCTATCCGACTTTTTATCAATAAGGAAAGCGCAAGCATTTTTGTCAAGGTATGTCGGTTTTGTGGAATTTTTGCTCTCTTTGACCTGTCCATTAGTGTTTGTCAACTCGTTAGAGGAGACAGAGATTGTAGGCGTCCTTTTTTAGAAAGATCCCCATTGAATTTCAGACCCTCGACTTATTGGAGCCGATCTGTAGAGAAATCATCAAAGCGCCCTGCCTACGAATCGACAGCAAAACGCCGACAAAGCGACGCATGGAATTGGTGGACAAGTTCAATTCGCCGAACTCTATAGAACGTAAGGTTTTTTTCTTTGAGTTGACCGAATTGTGAAAAAACTCGAGGCGTTCGGCGGGATTTGAACCCGCGTAGTAGAG